CTGAGGCAGGAGAATTGCTTGAACCCGGGAGGCAGAGGTTGCAGTGAGCCAAGATCGTGCCATTGCACTCTAGCCTAGGCAACAGAGCAAGGCTCTATCTCAAAAAAAAAAAAAAAAAAAAAAAAAACTTGCAAAGCTTTTCTTTGTGACATACCTATGATCATTTAAAAATATTCTCTCAATATTTGAAAAGAGTATATGCAGTCTATAAACAATTTTCAAAATGTATTAATTAGATCTAATGAATTGTTTTTCATATCTTCTAAGTAGTTTATTTTAGTCTACTTTATTGTCAATTAAATTATGTTAAAGCCTCCCATACAGATGTTTCCATCACTTTTTGTATAGTTGACAGTTTTTTTCTTTATATATTTGGATGCCATGTTTTTTGCAAAAAAAGGTTCATAAATATAATATCTTCAATACGGTTTGTATCATCAATCAATATAAAATGAACATCTTGGGATCAACATGGTTGCGTGGTCATTGTTCCTGATTTTTTTTTTCCTAATAGAGTAGTGACATGTTCAAATACCTATTTAGAGAATGGATTGATTAGGAAAAGGTGAGACTGAAAGCTGAGAAGCCAGTGGGAAGGCTCTTAGAATTGTGCAGGTGAGAAATCATGAGTGGCTGGATTAAGACAAAGGCAACCAAGAGGTCTTTAGCAGGTTAAAAACATCAAGACTTGGAATTAATTGGATTGGAAGTTGGGTGGGGTGAGAGAGGAGTTGAGGGTGACACCTACATTTCTGACTGAGCTGACCATTATCTAGACAGCAATATAGGAGGAAGAGCTGGGTTGGCTTTTCAGAATTGGCTATATTCTAAAGTTCCTTCTGTTTATATTCATACCAAAAGGACTCAAGCCTAGACCTAAAGCTAAGTGTTGGATCTTTGTCAGCTGATTGTTTACTCAAACCAAAGTCTTTCTACCCGTATAAAACACTAGGCTGAATACTCACAGATTTTAGGGTAATCACACTTCTTTTACATGTTAAGAGCTCTTTCATAAAGTTGACGGAAAATTTGGACTAAACGAGAGGGAATTAATTTCCTATACTGTGCCCAGGGTAGTCCACCTGTGAAGGTTAAGTTTTCCACAAGAGGGCAGCATCACCTAATAAATTATGTCATTGAAAGCCTTCACCAATAGGGGCTGAGACGGGGAGGTTAAAAGGGTAGAAAATACAGGTTCTGGGAGCCATAGGACCTGTCACACCACGAAAAACAAAGGGCCCTGCTAGTTCAAGCCCATAATTATAACCACTCCTAAGTGACTGATGGTGGCAGATGTTGCTACGAAAGAGGACATGGAACTCACCCTGTCAAGATGAGTGGGTGAAACACCTGAACCCTCTCATTCTTGTGACTGACTCAGAAGATACTCTAGATAGTGTTCATACTCCCTCTAAGTGCTGGTGTCTCTGTACAACCAGCATCTCACAGGGGCCTTTATTTCCTATTCAGATCATTGCCACCCCTAATGATTCCTTAGCACATCATTCTCTGCAGGTTAGGCTGCAAAGCACATCACCATTCTGATGCTCTCCCAATTTAACAGTGTTTGGTTATTCCAATTATGCTTCTTTTAGACCCTAAGGAAAGAAATGGGAATGAAATTCACTGACAACCCATTATGTGAAAGTCATTTTACATAAATTATCTTATTTAATCATCGCAACAATGCCATTATATATGAATTATTATTTGTCATATAAGAGACCTAGGAAGTTGCAAACATGGGAATATCTAGCTCCAAAACAAAAATGCTTCCAAATTCACCAAATTACCCCTCCAAGAAGCCTTATTTAAGACCTAAATCTTGACCAATCCAAGATTTAATCAGTGATAATGTATCTATTATATAAGGCATTACTTAACATGTCACCTCCTATCCATGTACATGGGCAGGTATGGATTAATCTTAGGTGCCAGCAGGTAATAGAAGTCAAGGGGATCCTATATAACCTCATTCTTCCTAGGTCCAAAGCCTTTCCCCTTAAATATTCTCTCTTCAGGATAAATCATTTGGATATAGAACATGAGGACAATGGAAGAATTAAAGATGGCTTCTGTGTTTCTGGCTTAGTTGGCTGAATACATACGTGGTGGTCCTGGTCATAGATAGTTATTTTGAGAGAAGATGATGATGTGTTAGGCATGGGCATGTTGTGTTTGCAATACCTCTGACACATTTAAGTATAAATGTTTAATAGGAAGTTGGTTATATGGTCTAGAGCATAGGAGATACAGAAAATAAGGTGAAGCTAAAGGGCTGGGTGAGATTTTCCAGGGTATATTAAGTTAAAAATGGTGGAACTATGGGGAACACCAACATTTAAGGAATGGTCAGAGGAAGAGCAGGTAATAACGAGCCTGGTTTTTAAAAAATGGACAAGGATGTAGGAAAAGAACAAGGAAACTGATTATCTTGAAAGTAAGAAGTGTGGCCGGGCGCGGTGCCTTATTCCTGTAATCCCAGCACTTTGGGAGGCTGAGGCAGGCCGGATTACTTGAGGTCCGAGGTTTGCAACCAGCCTGGCCAACATAGTGAAACTCCGTCTCTACTAAAAATACAAAAAGTAGCTAGGTGTGTTGGTACACGCCTGTAATCCAGCTACTCAGGAGGTTGAGGCAGGGGAATTGCTTGAACCTGGGAGGTGGAGGTTGCAGTGAGCTGAGATCACGCCACTGCACTCCAGCCTTGGCGACAGAGCAAAACTCCATTTCAAAAAAAAAACAAAAAGGTTTTTTTTTTATTAACATAATAGTTACACATGTTTTGGGGGTACATGTATCATTCTGATACATACATATAAAGTGTAACAATGAAATTTGGAAAATTGGGATATCCATCACTTCAAACATTTATCTTTTCTTTACGTTGAGAACATATGAATTCTTCTCTACCAGTTATTCTGAAATATACAATAGATTGTTAACTATAGTTACCCTACCCAAACTATTGAATACTAGATCTTATTCCTTCTATCTAACTGTATTTTTATACCCATCAGTCAACCTCTCTTCAACCTCCCCACTTTCCAGCCTCTAGTAACCACCAGTCTACTCTCTATCTCCATGAGATCTCTCTTTTCACCCTTTACATATGAGTGAGAACATGTAATATTTGTCTTTCTGGGCCTGCCTTATTTTACTTAATGACCTCCAGTTCCATCTGTGTTGTTGTAAATGACAGGATTTCATTCTTTTTATGGCTGATAGTATTCCTTTATATATATATATTCCCCATTTTCCTTATCCATTCATCTACTGATGGATTAGGTTGATTCCATGTCTTGTTTATTGTGAATAGTGCTGCAATAAACATGGGGGTGCAGATATCTCTTTTATATGCTGATTTCCTTTCTTTTGAATATGTACCCAGCAGGGGGACTGCTAGGTCATATGATAATTCTATTTTCAGTTTTTTACTAAACCTCCATACTGTTCTACGATGGCTGTACTATTTCACAGTCCTACCAACAGTGTACCGGGATTCCCCATTTTCCCACATCCTTCCAGAATCTGGTTTTTTTTTTTCATTTGTTTGTTTTGTTTTTATAAAAACCATTTTAACTGGGGTGACATAATATCTCATTGTGGTTTTTATTTTCATTTCCCTGAAGATTAGTGATGTTGAACATTTTTTCATATGCCTGTTGGCCATTTTTGTGTCTTCTTTTAAGAAATGTCTATTCAATTCTTTGCCCACTTTTTAAGTTGGATTATTTTGGGGTTTTTTTGTTTGTTTGTTTTTTTGCTATTGAGTTGCTGTGTGAGATTTTTGGTATTGAGTTTCATAAAGGAAGGTAGGGGGCAAAATCTAGAGCTATAATGTTAAATGCCATATATGATGAATACTAAAAATAACCCATTGACTTTGACAATTAGGTGATAATTTGTAGCTTTTGACAGAGTAGTTTCAGTGGAGTTCTGAGGGTCAAATTCTGGCTGCAGAGAGTAGAAAGCTAAATGGCAGGTGGAGAAGTGGGGACAGTGACTATAGACTCTTCCTTTGAGACTGAGTATGAACAAAAGGAGAAAGACGGGGCAGGAGCCAGAGGGAGGAGTGAGATTGTGGGAAGATGCAAACTTACGATAAAGGAAAAAAAAAAACACACACACACAATAGAAAGGGAGAAGGCTGAGCTCCAATAATACAAAGCAAAGACGCAGCAGCAAAATGAAAGAAAAGCCATGTGGAAAGTTCACCAATAGGTAGATGCTTTTGGTGGTAGCAGAATAACTGTGCCCAAATATGTCCTTCCCTTCCTTCTGCTTATGCCACTGCACTTACCTGCAATGCCTTCCTCTTCTGATGCTTTATTTTTCAAATTATACTTACCCTTTAGCTTAAATTCTACTTTCTCTATGAAGTCTTACCCTATCAATCCCTTCTGCAGTGATCTCTTTCTCTAATAGCAATTTCTGTCTGAACCTTCCATTTGATAATCACACACAAGCCTTTATTGCCTTCTTTAAAAATATATAGCTACTTAGTCACATGTGTATCTTTTCTCCCCTGCTAGACTGTGCAATCCTCAAGGAAAGGGTTTCTAAGAGTTTGCTACAGCCTCCATGGCTGTAGTAGGGGCTCTTTAAGTCTCCATTGATATGTGGTTCAGGAATGATAGTGTATTATAAAGAAGGAGATGGAAAAACACTGGATTAGATAGCCCTTTGGTATATAATGAGTAATTTAGTCCTCTTTATAGCAAATAAGGAAACAGTCTTGCAGAGGACAAATAAATTTATCCAAGATTATGTGTCTATGTGGCAGTGCCAGGATTTGAACCAAAGGCTCTTTCTCCTGTGCTATTCTGCTTCAGTTGTCTGCAAAATTCTATTCAAGTGAAACACCTCTTTCCTTTATAATATTGATAGAGACATGACTCTATTGAGCTTTATTACCAACCAAGTTTCAGTGGCCTCTGCCTCTTACGGAGACTCCCCCTGTACCTTACCTTCTGACAATCAGCTTGAGAATCCGGAAGGAGCCTTTGATGAGAATGAGGGCCTCTTGGCGGGAGCCATATAATGGAGTGCCATTGATATTCACCAGCTCATCACCAGTCCTCATCTTCTGGGACAAAGCTGCCTTGCCTCCATCTTCAATCTGTGTTGCAGAGAACAAAACAGAAAGCAGGCAGTGAGGCGACTTTCTCCCCAAAATTCTACTTGTTTCTTCCACCCCTGGAGCCACAAGTAGTACTGGGGAATGGCTCCAGGCAGCTCCTTGGAATAGCTCAGGAGCTGATCACAGGTCATTATTTACTGAAGGCAAAGCTTGAGCAAACCTTTGAGGAAGGAGGCAACATGGAAATAATGCAATCCCTGACTGGAGGAATCAGCAGTCCAACTAGGAAGACTAGCACTTCTAAACAAGAAACTGATGCTTGGAAGGAACCCTAGTGTGTGGCTAAAGCAGCAGCACAGCCTACCAAAACGTGCAGGCAAATTAGAGCCAGAAGAGCTAGGCTCCACCAAAATGACCCTTGGCAAGCTCTTTCCTATCTTTGGGCAGGCTTTGAAGTCTGACAAACGTAAGTTTGAATCCTGGCTCCGCTACTTCCTAGCTGTGTGATCCTTAGGAAGTTACTTAATATCTCTGTGTCTCAATTCCCTCCTATGTGACATGTAGATAACAAGACTAGCTACCTCACAGGGTTGTTAGTATAGTAAATATCCGAGAACAGTAAGTCCTCAATTAATATAAGCTCTGATTATTATAACAAGGGGGTTGACTCTGAAGACCAGGAAAATGGCTTCCAGCTCAACATTCTGGGAGTGGAATGGCAAATTCAAAAGATACAAGTAGGTACAATGTAGCTGCTTCTTTATCTATGTCTCTTCAACATGTGCCCAGCACAGTGCTTCTAGTGTCTGACACACAGTGAGCATTCAGAGAAAGCTGGAAATATGGGTATTTACTGTTACAACACAACCTATAGAATTTCCATTAACCAGGGCAATCTGGGGAAGAAGATTGTCAGACTGAGGGGTATTGAAAGCAAAGGCAGAAATAATAGCCACTGGGGCAGGCAAAAGCAAAGCAAAGCAAAGCAAAGCAGAATGTCCCTGGGGGTCTTTGCTTATGGCTAATTTTATACATTCATTTTACCATGAAGGTGAGTTCTACCTATTGGAACATAAATTCCATCCATGATAATCCATGAAAGGAGTCATCTCATCCATCCATTAATCATTCCTTAAGTATTTAAGCACATTTCTATTATACATAGGACAACATGCTAGAGATATAAAAATGAACAACGTTCCTAATTTCTAGCCTCAGGGACAGGTTACTGCCTACAGCTTATTTATCAACTGAGATGGTCAGGTAAAAAAGCCTCCAACTCACTGATGTAATCAGGAGTTGTTTTTGTTTGTTTCCAGGGAAAGGGAATGTAAGGATAATTAAATTGTATAGTCCTTAGGGGATGGAAGATTCTAAATGGGGCAATTAAGGGCTGGTATTCACTGGAGGTATTTTTACACTTCTACTCTTGTTCCAATCTTTCTCTCAGTCTTTTATAATGTCCCCTCAATCTATCCCCACACCATGGAAGTTATAATATTGTTGGGCTTTAGGTTGGCCAGCTCATGTGCAATTTCGCAGATGAGACCTCCTGGGTGCAGAGAAAAATTTAAGTTCAGGATTTTTTAAACTCCATCAAATAAATTGAACTTCTGAGTTAAATCACAGAATGTTATTATATTTATTGCTGCTAACCCAACTTTTTAAAAAAAATTAACCTTTGTCTAACAAATCATAGGTTAGCCAAGTGACATTGAATATATATACCTTTGTTCCGGTACCCGGGCCACATTCAACACCAAACAAGCCAATATTGGTAAATGGGGAACAACTCTCAGCAAATTAATCAAGATTATACTCTTATTTCCATTGTCATTATCATTATTACTTCACAGTCATTGCTGCCTGCCGCCAAGAAAAAAGAGAGAGAGAGAGAAAAGGAAAGTGCTGTACTTGAATTTCAGAAGTTCCATTTGAATGACTCATTCCTTTGGCATCCATAGAAGGCCCTTAGCACCAGGCAGAACTTTCAACAGGGATCAGCCATTTGAAAGGGTTTCCCGAGGCTAACAAAGAACCACAAACAGAAGTCTAACTAATGAATGCTAATAGATTTTCCCTGTTGATGTACATTAGTCTTAATTCACTCTACCCATTGTTTTTAATTCATACAACTTAATTATCCATATTACTGTTACCCATAGCAAGTCTTCCCCTCAATATGTATTGATATTAAGTACCATCTTTGGTTAATTAAACACTGTTACAGCAGCAAGATCTCTGTTTATTCTAGGCCAAAAGATAAAAGGGAGAAACCTTTTAAACTAAAATGCTTAATTACTGCTGTAGCAAAAGCTCAGGCATTTGGCATTCCTTACTGCTCCTTCAGCTGCCACTTTCTGAGTCCTTGCACAGACTGTTTCTTGGACTACAGCATCAGGCCAACTGTTCATGCCCCTTTTTTCTGTTCCATGCCCCTTCTCAGTCACCAGCATCCTCCTCCTTAGGAGATATGTTAAGTGAAATAATCCTAATTTAGTACAAGTCTGAAGATGCTCAGACAAAAACCCAGCAAATTTTGGGTCGCCAGCATAATCTAAGAGTTCAGAAGGGTCCAGATCAGGAAGTAAGACTCCATTTGGTTGAAGATCCCTTCAACTATATCCCAGACTAGCCCTTTTCCAGACCCAGGGTATTTTCTGAGCTGTGCAATGGATTCCATACTCTTCCAGACTTTTTGGTCCTTTTTAAATTACTGCTCACTGGCCTTTCTCCTCCCCACGCTACCTCTAGATTTCTGAGATCTAGTATGTCTTCTATTTATTGTTTGGCCTCCTTACAGCCAGTTCTACAGGTCAATGTCTCAGCCACATATTTGTTTATATGGAAGACAAAGCAGATGTTCATGTTTCTATCAATAAAAAAAGGAAAGGAAGGAAGGAAAAATGAATGAGAGGAAGGGAGAAGGGGGATGGACGGGGAAAAGATGATATGTATATTCTTCTACAAAAGGTTTTTGTTTTCCCCTTCCCACCACCCTCCTCCTAACTCTGGCTGGGGCCCTGGAAAGGTGTGAATCAACAAACTTGTTGAAATTAACATACCCTGTTTGAGGGACTGTATAACAATATATGATGCTATCCATTCAGTAAGGCTGGTCAGCTTTCCAGCTCTTCCTGAATCAGACCTTCAGGGTGGCTTTCTTGTTTCAGTTGAAGTGTTGTGAATTCTCAGATTAGACCCAGATGCATTGGAATGTCGGTATAAACACACATCACAAAGCTCAGTGTAAACGATGGTTAACTTATGTGTCATTTTGGATTACCCAAGTGATTTCTGGGCTAGCAGTGAGTGGCCCAAGTAATTGAAAATTGATTACATAGAGGTCATATAACCAAAAGCCAGGTGGTGCCTGGAAAGCTAGGAAGAGCTGATTGACTTTGGACAAGTCCCTTTCCCTTCTTGCAGCCTCTCTTCTCCTACTGGTAAAATGTGTAAGAGGGCCTGACTAGATGATCTCTTGGGGCTCTGACAGCTCTGAGCCTTTTCAGTTCTGACATTCAGTGACCTGTGAACAGTTAGCAAAGTCATGCATTATCCTTCTGCTGACACAGATAATCTCAGCTTTTTGTCCCATTGTACTCTGCCTTCACCCATGTTTCACTCCTTCAAAATTGACTAATTAACATCCATCTCTCAATTCCCCTGGTCTTTATCCACTGTTTCAGAGTGGTCCACCAAGGTTGGAACACTTAATAAGGCCCAGTCAGGACACTGAGAGAAAGAGATTCCTGAAGCCCTATTTTGTGCTAATGAGCTAGCAATTTGGAAATTTTTGATGGGTCTTCAATGAAGCATGAAGTGCTCTGATAGCTGTCAACAAAGTGACAAGTTGGCCCCTTGTGAGTAAAGGCAAAGAACAATTGACTTAACAGCACTTGCTGGCTTCCTAGTAGCTTTTATTTAATCATGCTAAGAGATACTTGCTTGGGTCTTTTGAATAAATTTAGGAGATGAAAAAGGGAAGAAAAGAAGTATTAAATCAGGTTTATAATTTAAAAATGCATTCAAAGGAGAAACACCATCTGCAACAATAACTGATGGGTACTGAACACCTATTACGTTAGTGTAAGAGCAGCATTAAAAATCAATGACATGATTGTGAATATCTCTGCCTGCTACAGGAAATTTATTGGAAAAAATGAGCATCAACTGAAACTGTCTTGGTCAGCTCTTGGTCCAAGAGCTTCTGGCCAAATTACCAGCCCATACTGCTACCTCCACCAGCTTGTCTATCATCTAAAGAAGACAAACAACATAATTGTTTAAATTGAAGTGTTTGTTTTTTGTTTTTGTTTTTTTGTTTGTTTTTGCAAATAGAAAAGGTCCACTCAGAATACTGTAATCCAGTTGTTTAAAGAAATAATATACCCTCTGAATACCTTTTTAGCATCTTAGAAAGATTTTCAAGTTTTTAGTAACACTCTAGGCATCCGTGCATGAATTTGGCCCTTTCTGAGAAAGAATAGAAAATACAGAGCTAGGGTTAAGCTGACTTTGGGAAGTTTAACTATTAAGAAGTAGGAGTATCAAAGAATGAATAAAGTCCTTGCTCATTCTGAAACTTAGTTTGAAATCTTAAGCAAACCACAGGTTGGGGGCTGTCTGTTTCTAATCTACCCTCTTTTTCCTTGTTGGTATCTCTTAGAATCTGATCATGCCAGGAGAAATTAATCAGCGTTCCCTGGATATGGGAGATACAGGCTTTCAAACCTCGGTAGTCTTCTTGCCATGGCTTTCAACACCTAACTTGTCTCTCTCAGCAACTTCTTCCCTTAAAAACTGCTCTCAAATTTCTGAAGCAGTCTAAATTAGAAAAACAAGAAACTCTGTTCCTAATTTCATCTTCCATACTTTACACCAGTTTTCCAAAAGGCAAAACAGGCAACAAAAACTTTTCTCTTCAATGAGAATTGGAAAACAATAACCAATTAAAAAGATGTAAGTAGCCCTGATTCAAAGGAGTAATCCCTATATGTGGACAGAGGGAAGAGGTGGACACCAAGGGAGAAGCCATT